TTGCGCATTCACCTTCGCATCGGTCACAACTATACTGTCGTCTGGAAGTGTGAGTTGACGTGGTGGACCCAGTTGACGTAATTCACGCCCACTCACGCATGCTATCCGCATGGCATTCGTGGAGGAAATGGTCACGACAACATCACCCATCACATCAATGACAATCGGCGTCCCTTCCGTCTCGGTAAAGGCAATTTGGCCAATTGTCACAAGTTGGAAATTGGTAAACAAGACGCGGTTGGCATCCTTCACATAAAATAGCCCCTCAGGATGCACAGCAAAGGCTGGACTTGTTGTTGGTATGAAATTTGTCAAGGTAGCCGTTGACTTTGCCTCGCTGACAGTGTAAAGGTCTATTTGGTGACCATTCCAAAGTCCAATAATGGGAAAGGCGGCAGCCATGCCGCGAATCTTACTGCCACTCTTCAACAGGCACTGGCAGCCAGTGACACTCTCCACCACGACCATTTCCATGGATATTTGTGTTGCGGCCACAACGCCATCCCACGCACGTTTTCGGACCGTTTCGCGAAGAACCTGCATTTTTCCCGTTGCAAGAGCGACAACTATGTGACTCGCAGTGGTAAAGCTCAAACTATCCACGCATCCCTCCATATCAACAACAGTCAACAAGTCCCACTGCTCCGCCGGATCGTTTTCCACTTTACTTATATTGCCACCCATGGGGCGGTTGTCCATCTTTGCAGCACCCGAATTGACGGCCGCCGTGGTGGCAGAGTTCCCATTAAAATATGCTTCTGCATTTCGCTGAAATACGGCGAGCGGCCCTTCTGCGGTTGCCATGGCTAATAAACCCTTCTTCAAAAGAGTTGCAATGTGCGTGATGTGAGCAGCGGCTAGCGCTGGATGCGACAAAACATACACCCGGTCGTCACGAATGTCAAAAAAACGCACCCGATTGTCCCCGCACCCAAACGCAAGAACTCCTGGTGTGGCCCACCGCATCGTCAGCGTAAATCGTTCCGTCTTTACGTTTGGAGTCGACAATTTACGGCGAAGAACCATTTTCACTTTAAACTCTTCTGAGACGTGGTATATACTAATCACATTCGCTGCGCTCAACGCAACAAGTTGCCGTTCTGCTGAGTCGTAGAGTACCGCCATGAGCGGTTCGTCCAGTGAGCAAAGTGGGAAAAGCTTCCGATCTTCTGTTAGTGCAAAAATGTGTTTGTCACCGGTGCTAGCAAGAAAAAACGCGCACTCATCGCCCTCATCATCTATGCCACGATGAGAAGCGGACGTCGGCGACGAAGTACCTTCTGTGTTGTACCGTTGCAACCGTTGTGCAGACTGCTGAAGAGAAAGCGCAATAGAAGAGGTGACGTGCAGTGCTTGCAAAATAGCCACTTCTGTTGGCACAGACCACAGTGGTAAAAGTCTAAATCGCATCATTGTCGTGGCGCCATCCTTATCATTTTCCCCCGTGTTCACAGTCGTGCTTTCCACCATCCACATTACCACACGCAGCTTTTTCGATGCGGTCAGCAAGTATGTCCCGCCACCAGACCACACGCACGCCGTCACGGAACCTTCGTCGTGCTGTGGTAATGCCTTTTCAGTATCTACCGGTGGCTCTAGTGGGATCATGGAGATGGCTGTTTTCTTTACCGGGGGAAGTGACCACATCATAAGTCTCCCAGACGAGCACCCAATCGCCAATGCCGAGTGAGTGGGATGCCACGCCATGGAGGTGATGCTGCCTGCGTCTTTCAATGCCAATTGTGCTCCGCTATCGGCAATAAACTCACCTTCGGCATCTGTTACTAGCAGGCGCGCCGGCCCTTTCCACACAGACGCCACAATGGGCAGAATGGGGTGCGCAAAAACGAGCTCCGCGTCAACGACGCCCTGACTCACAACACCATTTACAAAATACAGTGACATCCTTCACGGTCCTTTACTCACTTCTTCCTCCTGATTGTTTTATTGGCTGATTTTGCTGTTGTTGTTTGTATTTTTCCTCTTTTGAATGGTTCCGCTCTCCCTTCCCACGGAGGCCTCCAGCCAACTTTGCCGTATGCAGTGGGTCTCCACAAACAGTCCGAAGCACGGCTCTCTCTCTCTCTCTCTCTCTCTCTCTCTCTCTCTCTCTCTCTCTCTCTCTACGGCAGTAATTCATTGAAGACACAACAACAACAACGAAAAAAAAAAAAAAAACAGAAGATAAAAAAATAAACAAATAAAATACATCAAAGAAATGCGGGGGAAAAATTGGTGATCTTCTCAAGCATGAAATTGGACGCCCAGTCTTTGTATTCGTTTCAACTGAAGTGGTTTCTCGCACCCGCCCATCCCTCTCGCCCAATACATATATACATACACATATATATGCATAATATTGTAACTACCAGCGTCAGCGTGCGCAGCTGCTCTTGAGCATCAAAGACCGCCGAGTCGTTTCCGCAGTAACGGTTTTTAGCGCGGAGACCACACCGCATCGTCACAATTTTCACTGGAAATTCAACCAAAAAACTTCCTCCTGTTTATGTGGCCGTATGTATTACGTTACCGAAACAACTAATAAAAACATGCTCAGCGGAAGAAGCAGGCGGTGTGGACGACGACAATGGAATAGGAAACACGTTACACGTCTCTCTTCGCCCGTGGTGGCGCGGTTTCGTTGCCGTTGTTGTTGTTGCCAAGGCTCCATCGCGTTGGTGGTTGCACAAGCCCTGTCCCTCAATCATTTCCATTGCACTCCGTGACGTTGCAGGGTGAGGACCGCCTGTCAAAGTTCATCTCCGTGTACTCAGCAAGCTGGCGTCGTAGTAAACAGAGCTCAAGCCTCAGGGCGTGTTTTTCCCGATTTTCACTGAGCAACATTTCAAAAAGAAGCTCCTCCAGCCCATTTGCGTCTCCCCTCGCATGAATTCTTTCATTTGGCGTCTCAGCAAAAGAAAAGGAACAAGAAGAAGATGCCACGTGGGTATCCTGCGTGTTGTCGCTCTTGTCATAGCTTTGGCTGGAAGCAACAACTATTTCGGTATCCGCAAGGCAAGTGACACGCACAGCTGCAGCTGCCCTCGCCCCCTCGCGCCCCATAAAATACTCCAACTGCACGTTTGAAACTGCCATCATTTGTTCCAACAACTGGTTGGCGTTACGCCCCTCCTCCACACACAACCTCAGGCGATGTTGCTCTTCCCACACATGACTTCGTACAGTTGAAACAACCACTTTAAATCAAAGACATGTTGGATATATTTCGCAGCCGCCTCGCGTCGTTGCAAAACCATTTGTTCCCGCATCCCAATGCTCCGTACAAGATCAATATAATGGGACTCGCAACTGATGAAGTACGCCTGAACGACGCGTCGGAGAAAAAACATCTCTTCACGCGGAACACCAAAGTGAGCGGGTAAAGCCTCCAAAAGAACGGAAAACCGCTCATTAAGCGCTTTCAAGAGAAGCTCACTGCGCGCCAGCTGCCATCGCTTCATTAACCACTCACCATCACCTCGCCGATGTAAAAGCGACCGCTGTACCGCAAGAACACAAAATCCAATGGAAACAGCCGTGCAAACGATTCCAGAAATTACAACAGAAGTGTCCATCCAATTCATCACATGTGCAGAAGATGGTACCACCGTTCGTATTTCAGCACCGTGCTGATCACTAGACAAAACATGCGCCGCAGCCAACAACTTCCGCTCTGATAGTCCCGGGGAATCATCCATCACTATCGTATCATGCACTTCATTTAACTTTAAATACTCCTCAGAAATACCATCAGCCTCCGCTGGCTCGCTGATGCTCCGCATAGAGACTATCGGCCATCGACAATCAAAAACTACCAGCTTATCACCCGTAGCAAATATGCAACGTCCCTTCAAGTCAAGCACGACCAATTTCAAACAAAAATGGCGATGAACATAAAACGCACTTAAAAATGAATTCAAACTAACGACGCATGCAACGACACTTGATCCAGCGCTCCCAGTTTTTTCACAAAAGGCAGCGCGATGATCTTGAAAATTCTCCCCCGAGACAATGATGTGCTCCAAATCGGGAGCAAAATCACCACTGACCCGCATTCCACGCTGAGCATGATATTCACGCAATTGCTCAACCTCTGACTCCAATACCTCCTCATGCTCTGACTGCGACTTTGTTTCCGATGTACTTTTCGGCAGTTCCTCGTTTTCATGCGTGTCAATTTCCCGCTTCTTCCAGAAATTCCCGCCGGGTAGCTGTAGCACATCAAAGCCTACATGATATAGGCTTCCATGTCGTCGCACATTGACATTGTCAATAGGTATGGAAAAAGCAGAAGAAAAAAGATGCGCGACATCCCTTATAAATGTGCCCTGTACAACTTGCAACGAAAACTCCCCTTCAATTTTCTCCTCGAATTTGTGGGGTGGCTTACCAGTCACATAGACTGCAAACCCAAAATGATGTACTGTCACGATACGAGGAGTGACGGTGTGAACGATGGCTTTGTCATTATTATCGTCTGGGGAAGCTGCCCTGGTAAGAGAGATGGATTTCTCTTTACTGCTCTTAAGTGTTGCCTCTGCTGCATGCTCGGATGCTTTGAAAGAAAAAAAAGAGGATCGGCCAGGCAGGTCTAGTGGCTCCAGTGAACTCGAATGAATTTCAACACCCGCTTTTTTTGGCATCCAACTCTTTTTGTCGGCCATTTCTATCTTTTGACCAAAAGACTTTCCGGAAGGTTTCGAAACGACAAAAGAAAAGCCGCAAGTGAGCCATTTCAAAAAAAGAAATGCCTTCTCTAATAAACCTCTCTGCGTATTCGGCATCGTTTCACGTTGTGATGCCTCCTTGGCAGATGGCTTTGGCTCTTGGGACACGCGGGATCCTTTGGCAGGCGGAGCTGCTCCGCGCGACATTCCGCACAAACCGCTGCCCCCCTCAACAGAACGCGACGGAGGTGGCGGCGACGCCGACGCCTTTCGTTTTGGTGAAAAGAGAAACGTGAAACTGGCCCTCAGCCAATTTGGAATGCCAGATTTAATCTTCCATCGTCTTGACCTGTTGGTAGGGGCGGCGCTATTCACGGCACTCGTTGTTAATGATGATGACGATGGGGGAGCCGTGGTGACAGCCGTAATACCTGTACAGATGATCCTCCCTCTGGACGGTGATGTTGTGTTCCTGCTGAGAAAACCAAAATATATATATACCCACCGTAAACCCTCCACACTCTTAATTCCCACAGTGTGTGCCGTTTCCCCAGGCCTCAAAACAAGCCACGCCGAGACATCACAGTAAAATGGCAGTAATTCCTCCGTCAGAAAACGTTGCACGTAATTCGACACAGCCCTGGCAGCAGTAAAATCAAAAAAAAGCGCTTGACGTGGGCCGCTAAGCAATAAAACGTCACCAACGCCGAATTGCTGCCACAATGAAAAGACATATGGGAGACGGGAAAGGCCATCCGCCGTGCAAGCCCACATTTTCTTGGGAAAACGAAAGATGGAGTCAATCGGTGCAACAAACCGTGACCATGCGGAGGCAGCCACATCTTTCCCGGCAGATGATTCCGGGGATGACGGTGAAGATGGTTTCTCAGCAGCGCTCATCCACCAACTCAGAGTAGAAGAAATAAAAATAAAAGAAAAGCAAACAAAAAGCATGAAAAATCGATTTCGCAATTGAAAATGGGCTGGCAACTCCTTTGCGTCAACATCTCGGCTATTCGGAAGTGTGCGTGATTGCTGAGGGAAACCAAAACATGCTGAACCGCGCGATTCTAACTGACTGTCGTGTGACCGGAACGTTGAAGCGGGGGGCGCATCCCCCCTCCCCGTCATTGAGCACCTCAATAAAAGATATGGATCTTCCTTGTCGTGCGTGGTCCACACAAATGTGGCTTTGACAATAGGGGTATCAATGGCCAATCTTCTGCTGCAGTGCCCCCCTCCAACACCTACCTTACATGCCACTTGACTGCTTTTTGTTGGGATCTGTTGTGGATATAATTAAAATGCCAAGTGAATCAATGTAACAGAAGATTCCTTTTTAAAAGGAAGCAAAAGAGCGTGTTTTTCAGGCCGCGTTCACGAACCCACACAGAAAGGGAAAGAGGAACAAAAGAAAAATAAATAAATAAGAATAAAAAGGCCACGGGGGCATGTGTCTCTTCATTACTACAAGAGCTTCAAAAATAATAACAGTAATAATAGTAATAATGGTAACAACAAAAATCAATGGAAGTTGAACCGTGTTAGCAATTCCCCCATTATATTCGTCTATTTCGCATACAGAAATCAACGTTGGTATCAACCAGTGGAATTTCACGGGATCAGAATACAAACACATCAAGCATCTTGAGGGGACTTCAACTTCTTCCCTCGTGGTTTCGTTGTCGTCGTTGTCGTCTCAGCACCAGTCCGTGCACCGCTACGGCTTCTAGAATCCTTGCTTTTCTTCTTGTGTCCATAACTAATGCCAATCGACGAAGAAGGCGCCTGCCTTCCAGAGACCTTGTCGATCTTCCCACTGGAGTCAGTGCCCCGCACGGTACGTTCCGTTGTCACAGGCTCGGCCTTGAAGCCACCCGGGGGAACGACATTGGCCTCAGAGCCTAAACTCAACTTCAATGGGGCAGTAAAGAACATTGTTTCAGCCTCTTTGCCCCCGGCAGCAGATAAAGGTGGCAAATTTCGCCCTCGCACTGCCTCAATTCGACGACTCCCATGTGGAAGTTGCGGAATAGAGTTGGCGGTGCTGAGGCTGTTTTTGCTGGGCCTTGGACCCTGCAAGGACGCCGCTGGTGGGGGAGTTAAACTGTTCCCAAAGGGCGGGCGGGAACTTCCAGATAGGGCAGGGTGCGAATTCGAAAGTACCGTAGGAGCGGAATCCGTACGTGTGCTGAATTCCGCTGCAGAGCAATCTCCATGCGCCTGTGATTCACGTGGTGGTGATGATAACGGAGTTTCAGTGGCACCGCCTTCTGAAGGGAGAAAAAGAAAGTCATCGTTGCTTTCGTGTGCACCCTCGTTGGGGACGCGCATCTGTTGTGAAGCATCACACGTAGATGATGCCCTTGCGCTGGGCAACTTGGCCTTCGATTTTGTCAGTAGTGCACGGACGCCTCTAGCGCCCGCTACCACAACCACTCCGTCCCCATCGTAACGAGACGCCTTGACACCAGCATCGCCATTGGTACTTTCGTTTTCATGCGCAACAACCTTCTCCACGCCGTACTCCTCGGCAATAAAGTCATCCATGAAGGTACAGAACTCGTTAAAAGAAGAGATGGACTGTAAGAGACGCCACGCGGGGTACGATAAAACATCCATTGATACGTCTTCAGCATCGCTAGCATTGTTGTTTTCTTCCCCATTCATATTCACATCAAACAGCGACAAGACAAACTCCTCCATATTGAACTTTGGCACATTTCGATTCAACAACTCGGTGATAAATTTGCCCACATAGTGACCGTACCGCTCATACACCGCAAACGCCTCGTGAGGGAACTCTCGAATAGCATCAGCCGATGAACCAGCACCACGAGTGGTGCGAAGAAATGGCTTATGATGGGCAAACAAAAAACGACCCAATGCATCGGTCACACGACGATTACGCACCGCATTTTCAATGCAACGAACCGCTAATAAGAAACGGTTCAAATTCTCCTCCGCGGTAGCTGCAAGGACTTCCGTATCCATGGAGAGCAATGCCTCTGTATTACGATCAATAGTCACTCCCTCTTCTCCCTCCCGGCGCTTCTGAAAAGCTGCCCGAGCATTGCGACGGGCACGCTCGATGGCAACGATCTCCATGAGAGAAGGTGGCGCCCCAATGGGTCGAAATTTCTCATTATTATCGTTCAATGCTCCTGACGCCCCCGAAGCAGCATCAGATTCTCCTGGGAATTCATTGCGTGTCGCCTCCAGTGTCGCCAATGTGAACGCCTCCGCCATATGATCCGTGGCAATAAAATACCCACTATCTTTGTTCTCCTCGTTTGCGGCATACAGCTGCAGAAGCGCGCGTTCCTGTAGCTCGTCGAATGTGTGTGGAGGAGAAGTATACAACTTGTAAGTCTCGTCCCATTGCCCTTGAGCAGGTTTCTGATTTTGATTCTTAGCCATCATTGAAGATATCGTGTCCATTGTGTCAACCTCCAACTCTTTCTCCTGCTGCAACTCCTTTTCCTTTTCACGTTCTTTCTGAACATCAGCGGCAAAAAGATCCATGAGACGGGCAAATTCACGCTCTGACGCACTGTCCTTTGTCCCCTGTAGCCCTCGAAGAGCCTCTTGTACAACGAGAGGTACTACGGCTGGAGACGGTGGGGAAAATTTACGGCTGCTCTCTAAATTTGCATCACTCCCTTTATTATCAGACTCCTTCTTTTGATTTTGACTCTGTAAGCCAGAGAAAACCGGTGCCACCGGTGCCATCGGCAGTGAGGCATCAAGTGATATGTTCTCTGCATTACTTGCCGCCTCCCCACGGGCTTCCATAACAGCACCGTGATTACTACTAGAGACATTAATGCCGGAACGGCCATTTGGGTACAAAAATCGCTCGGTTCGCTCCCGGGCCGCGCGGTACAACTCCGGATCGCTATTTGACGTGCCGCTGTCGCTGTCCACTGTCCGTGAAGATGTTAAAAACGCCGGTGTCCCACCATTGCTGTTGCCTTCCCTTTTTCCATTCTGATTGCACAACCGTCGCCGGCCTCTCCTACCTGTGCGACTGCCCTCAGAAGAACTTGTGCTCGTGCTGCTGCCGGTACTGTTGGCCCAACTACCGCTCCCTCTCCTTTTGGCAGAATTGGGGCCAGTAGATGTCGTCCGACGCTGTCGATTCCACTGGCCAAGAGCAGCAAGCCGAGCTCGACCGGGGTCAATAGGCTTTGCCTTGATTGGCATGATGTCTACCAACAAGAACACACGTCCCAGACAGCAGAAATGCCTTGTGCGCCCACGTCACGCTACAGATGCAGAATTGCAAAGGTAACACCGGCAGATTCAAAGCAAAAAAAAAAAAAAAAAAAAGAGAGAAAGAGAGAAGATAAGACAGAATAAAAACCCTCGCAAAGGCAAAAGAAAAGCACAGGAAGGCAACGCACATGCCGTGAGTTCCCTCTCTTTGCAGAGGCTAAAGTGAAAATTACATGACAAAATAAGACCACACAACGCAAAAAAAAAAAGAAAGAAAAAAAAACCCGCAGCATCAGCAGCAGAGCGCTTCGATGCAAATATATATATATATATATATATATATATATCATGCGCGCCCGCACATTCGTCTCCTTGCTAAAGATGCTGCGTGGTGTTTTATTCTTTTTTTTTGTTTTCGCTGCTTCATATTTTTCGGTGCCTTCATCCGTTTCCAGTCTTATTTCCCAACATCACACCACACCCTCCCGCGTGAATGTGCCAAAAAAAAATAATATTTTTTGAAATACAAAATTAATATAGACATCCAGCCGCTCAACTCTCCCCCGCTCCATCGTTCTGTTCCCATCCATTCCCCTGTTCTTCTCGCACAGAAAACCTCTACTCCCCCTCGTCGTTTCCCGCATTTCTTCCTAATCCTTCAATCACTTCATGGCCACTATATTCCTAGGCAGTTCCCCCCGCGCCCTGATTCTCTTTGATACATAAGGCAGACCATTGTCATCACAAGTCCATCTCCCTCTCCCCCGAGCTCTACCTCCCTGCAAGGAATTGTTTGGTAATGAACGAGGTGCAAATGGAATAAGATCGTAATAGAGAAGAATAGTAAAGGTACAAAGAAGAAAAACCACAAAATGCAAATGCCCGCTTAGAAACAACGTAAAGACAACAGATGCTTAAAGAAATATGAGAGGGAAAAAAAGGAAAAAAGAAATTGAGGGGAGGAGAGAACGGTAATAAAACATACATCATAAATTTTCTCTTTGGTAAAGCAAACAAAGGGTTCATAGGCACAGTGAGTTTGTGTAAGAGAAATTTTAAAGCCAGCCTCCTTTTCAAGGTCGAGACAAAATTCGCACCCCCCAAAGGAGTAAGTATTTCACGCGCACATGCACAATGAGCATCAAAATGTGTTTCGATCTCCTGCAGCGACAGCATCTGCGGTTCCAACATCAGCAGGACGCCTCACTGCACTCTCAGCGTACACACGAGCTGCATCAGCTTGTAGCTTTTTGAATTCCAAAAAGCGCTGCATTTGGGCAGCACGATCCTGATTTGTGGTACGCCAGAACGCAGCGGAGCTCTTATAGGATGGTGTTTCCTTCAACGACTTTTTCCTCTCAGCATCGGAGAGAGCCACGTTCTCTGCATTGTTCCCCTTCCCCAGAATCTTCAGGTCAGCCGATGCCGCAAGATTGTCAGCTGTTGATGGAGAAGCATCATTCAATGTCGTTCCCTCTGCAGCTTTTGGGCCATCGTTCAGATATTTGTTGTAAGTGCTTCCTGGATACTGGTGCTCTGCGTATGCCTTATCATCCAATCTGGTATTGTCAAGCCTCCCAGCAGCAGTAAATGTGGCGTTCTTACCGTCTTCATCCGTGTTGTCCTCTTCAAGCGGCAACCACACCACGCCTGTGCCGTACGGATGGGAATTGTACTTTAGGCGACGCGTGGAGCGGTCATGGATAGACGGAAACATTTTTTGCTGAATATGTGGCTGTGACACCTGGTGACGATGATCAGCCACGTGGGGCTGTAGTGGAGAGTCAGCAGTCGTACTCTTTCTCTTGTTATCATGTTCCTGCACGAGTCGACGCAGCCGATGAATCTGATCAGATGTCAGTGATTTGCTCGAATCCCTTGCGTCGTGTTCGTCCGTAATGGCTTTTACGGTGTTTAGGACATGACGCAGATCCTCATCCGCTGAATGCGCCTGTGGCACCACCACCTCTGCTTCATTCGTTTTGCCCAATTCTCTTGCAACATTGAAGTCATCACGGGTGCTAACTGCACAATCCCGCGATGTCTTGTCCGCGTCGTCTGGGAGACCCATCGCCCGAAGATTTTGTCGCCGTTGGCGCTCAGCCTTAATCCGCTCCTTGTTCTCAAGAATAAGAAGCTCCTGTAGGCGATCGCGGCGTCGTACTGGAACGGTCAGTGCCGCTCTCGCCATATCCCCGCGTGTGCTTTGCAGTATTTCATCCGGTTTAAATTTGCAAGCATTCTTCGAGCTTGCCATCAGACTTCTTGCTCGAAGAGTTTGGTTAAGAGTGCGGAGATACAGTTCATCCCTGCTGCGCCCATTCCCAGAAGCAAGTTTGATGCTGTCCGGGATAACTCGCATTTGCTCCCCGGTCTGCTTGCAGTAGGAGCACTGGCAGTATGCCTTACACTGGTCCCGAATCATATCGCGAGCAGCCCTCTCCCACCAAACCTATATATTGACGCTGTGAGTGCAATAAGATCTACTTTACAAGGCGCAGCAACGTGTCCCAGTGTGCAACACAAATGATTTACATAAGCACATGCATTGGAAAAAGCAAAAAAGAGGACAAAAAAAAAAATAGGAAACAAGAAAAAAAATGCAGCAAAAGAGAAAGTCTAACCATGCCGTCGCAGCGCCCAGACGCGCATTAAGCAAAAAAAAAAAAAAATTACGAGATGTCACCCGTTGAAGATCAACGCTATTTTTCTTTTTTTTTTTTTTTCCATATTCCTTTGGCAGCACATACATCTGGCGCCACAGTAAATAAATAATAATAATAAAATAAAAAGAAAAATTCATCCATCTCATTGCTTCCTTACATCAAAAACGCCTATAACATTACATAGAAATATATATGTACACCCGTCCCTCAACGACCACCACAAACTCAAATAAAATAGGTACAGAAAAAAAAAATTTTTCCCTTTGCTTTTGTTGGTGATGTTGGTAGTGTAGATTGCCAGGGAAAATTTAAAAAAAATATATCTTGCTGATAATCATTCCTTGTCTTCCTTCGCTTCTGTAAAAAAAAAAAAAAAGACGCTTTTCTTTTTTCATATATGTGTATACATACGCATCCCCATGTTCGCACTGGCTAGTGGAACAAAGCAAAATATAAATGACTGCACACAGGAGATTAATTTTATTTCCTCTTTGTTGCTGCAAATCATGCCCTGCAAAATCCTCTTCTCACTTGCCTTCTCCCTCTACAGACGTACAAACAGGCCCACTCGGAATCCTAGGCGTTGCCTAAATTATTCTCTCCCACGCACATGCTCATACCGCAAAAACAAGCGAATGCAACAGTAGACTAACCGCCCAAATAAGTGGACCGCATGCTTAACAGAAAAACTTCGTGGTTAATTTTAAATGGGCGTATCATCTGCGTTACATACCGTAGGGACAGGTGAACCAACAGCATCCCGAGCTTGGTGGTCATTTTCCTGTTGTTTTTGAAGTGAAAGAGCTGCAAGAGCTCCCGGAGACATAATGGAGGGGTCTGGGGCAGCAACGGCCGTCTTTTTGCTATTTGCATTAGCGGTATTTTCTTTCGCGCTACTGCCCTTCAGTAATGTTTTCTTCCACAGATGGCGATTGTCAACATTACCAAGTCCACCAACTCCCGTCGTCGTGTCCTCGGGTATGCTTGGCTGAATCTTGCGCCACACCACGCCCGCGCCCTCTGGTCGCGGACCAAAATAATCCCAAGGCCTTTTAACTGTCGAATTACCAGCACCCTTCGCAGCAGAAGCATCAGCCTGCAAAGAATTAACCTGCCTCGTCGTGGTTCCTCCAACACCCCCAATTTGCGAGGATCGCCCAAACGCGGCGTTATTTTGCTGCTGATTCATAGATTCTCTGGCCAGCTCATGTCCATCCCGCACGGTTTGCTGAGGAAGTTGCGATGTCTCACCATGCGGCGGGGAGGCAACAAAGGACTCATGGGCATTTTCGTGCGTTTCACGGGCGGTACCTGCCTGGTATGCGCCAGTTCCCTGCATTGTTTGGTCCATTCCATCCTCCACCGGTAGAGGAGGAACTGCCTCAAGCGGCTTCGGGCATGGGCCCCTGCCTGTTGACTGCCGCAAAGAGAGAATCTCCGCGTCTGCTGTCGCTTTCGCTCGCGCCTTGTGTTCGAGAATGAGAAGTCGCTCAAGACGGTCAAGTTCCTCCATTTTTTCCTCTTCCAGTTCCTCCCTTGTCTTTGCTTTGGCAGTCCCACTTTCACCTGCGCCACGGAGTCCACGCGTGCCACCCACTGCGGTTGTGTATTGGTTGCCATCCGGAAGGCCGGTGCGGCCCATTTTGGCGTTGAGTTCAGTTTGATTTACATGGTGCTCGGGGTCGTCGAGTTCAAACGACGGAGCCCCATTCCCAGAAAGGGGCTGCTTCGCCGACGCATCGTGGCCGGGGCAGCAGCAGTTGTGTTGATTTTGTTGCGCCTTCTGCTTCGCGATGGCGCTGCTCAGAGCAAACTTCTTTGCGCCGACCTTGCGGCGGCTGTCACAAAAGTCGCACTGGCAATGGTGGTGTGACTGGTACTCCACAGACCCATAAGGCACCTTCACCGACATGTTTTCCTCTGGTATGTATTTGTGTGTGTGTGTGTGTGTTTGGTGTTGCTGATGTTTACTCGCCGACCTCCTGGAGAACAATGTGTTCTCTTCTTCATCGTCGTCAATAACGCAAGAGGGAAGAACAGCAAAAACAGCGAGAGGATTAACAAGAGAAGCCTCCCGTGAGTGTGCAGAGGACCGCACATTGGGGAAACCAACCAACACCTCTTTCCGCCCCGCTCCCCTCGAGACGCCTCTCGGTTGCAATCGCCAAATCAAGGCAGAAAAATCGAAAAAGCGTCCTTTTTTTCTTCTTTTTTCTTTTTTTAGAAGGGGTCTTAGATTCAGAAAAGGAACCGCCGCAGCTAACAGCATCATCATCAACAGCAATTGCGTCGCCAACTTAACATCCATCTCCAATTCGTCCTTTCCACAGTTACCTCCTCCCACTGTCTGACTTCACCGCCTCACACCTCATCAGGCAGAAGTAACGCAGAAAAATGCATGCATAGCAATAGCAAAAAAAAAAAAAAAAGAAAAGCAGCAAAAACTTTGCGCGTAGAATTATTGGGGTACTTCAAAATACAAGCCAAAACTTTTCATTGCGTCCTTTCTTCTTCTTCCAAACTCTCACAAATGGATGCATACAGGTACATGTGTAATAATAATCCAGTGCATGAAGTCAGGAAATCACTCTTTCTGGGTCGGTACCTCCTCCTCCTTCTTTAATCGCCGCGTGAGAGTGGCGGACGTTGTAGAGGGCGGTAGCACAGTCGGTTCGGCAGCAGCATAAGGCCATGATGTTCCCACAGCAGACGCAGTCACATCAGAAAAACTCCCTGGGTCACGGTGCCGTGCCACGTTACTCTTAACATCGTCCGGCATCATTGGAACAAGGGCCTTGTATATATTCCGAATTTGCTGCACGACGACGCGAACACCCACCACGACACAGGTGGGCCCTGTCTCCTCAAATATTGCCCATTGAGTCAACAAAAAGCCCCTTAAAAACACCGCAGCAATAATAACAACAACTACAAGAAGAACTGGAGACGAAAGGACATACCATATTTCATTCCATCCCAACAGCAACAACACCGGCAGCACCCAGGCAGGCAAATTCTGTTTCTCGCCTTCAATGGAGCGAAGTTGTAGTTGCATGGTAAATTCACATTTTTGTGTATAAAGGTCAAATGCCCGCTGCACTGCCTGCTGACTGAGTAACACACAGTCCCTATCTACAACGTTGTCTGATGTGTCTGCAGAATCGGTCTCCGCCACAGGCGCACCTATCGGGTACCGCGGAGCCTCCGAAATGGTGGCATAGTGAAGAAAAAATTTTTGTTCCTCGCTGTTTTCTCGCACAATCAGCTTGCGACGCTCGCCAAGGAGGTGAACAGCAGCACGGCTGAGTCCATCAGTATCCTCTAGCTTGTAAACCACCCGATCCGCAACGACCTTTACGCGATAGTACAACAGGCAGCCCAAGAGAACTAGCCCAGCTTGGCGCGCCTGAGGTTCAATGCGCTGCAGTGCCTTTGTTGTATGAAAGAAACGAACTGTGCCGTCCTGATTACGGTTGAGGACACCCTCAAAGGCCTGATGAATTGTCTCCGCCGCGTTCTCAGCCATTGAGGCAAAACGGCGACTGACTTTCTGAAATACCGCATCCGACACAAAGTGTGCTATCGCCTCCTGCAAGGCCGGATCCTCTGCGACCAAAGAAGCATAACGATCATATAAATTTAAAGTTTGTGATTCCCGTTGACGTTGATGCTGCTGGCTAAAGTCACAATAAAGCAATTCTATTTCCGCCTGAAGAGCACGGCACAGTCTCTTCCAAAAGCTATGCACAAGAACATTACACGTTTCATTGTCTGTTATGTAAACATCATTGGAAGACGCTCTTTCAACACTCTTCAAGTGGGACATGTGTTCCGTTCCTCCCCCAGCATCCCCAGCCTCAGCGCTGAGGAATGGTATAGACTGGGCCTGATGCAACAACCACCGCAACGCTCCGTCAACGGTACCACTGACCGCCGTTTCCAGCTCCTCAAGAACTTTCGATGAGATAAACTTTGCGTATTCGCCAACTAGCTTCAGCTCCACCTTCAAGAGCTCCTCTTCAAGTTCAGCCTCGGTCTTCCGCACAATGTCTATCCTGTATAGCCTCGTTTGTTGGTGAAAATCACGCAGCTTATCGTCCACATCCTGCTCAAGCAAAGAAGTGAGATGTGTCACAAGCTCACCACGCTGCAAACGTTCCGTATAATTGGAGCAAAATTCTGTAAATAATTGGAGAATTTGTTTTTTCACCTCCAAGCAACGGTGCCTTGCCAGCATCTCACGTTGCGTTGGAATGTCAAGGTCTTTGCTCTTGCGGATCATCTCCCAGCAGCTTGAGAGGTAGGACGGAATTCCATCAAGGGGTACGCCACGAAACATGCCCCGAGTGTGAAACAAATATTCGTCGCACGTCGACAAGTAAAACCATTGACGAAACTTCGCCGTTTCCTTGTCGAATGCAGCACGCTGCAGTTTGAAGTGTGGGAGCACGTGGTAGCGTAGATCAAAGAGGGTATCAATGGTAGAGTTTTTAAACGCCTCTGGTTTCACTATGTTGTCCCATATTTTATCAAAAGATTTGCGGACCGTTTCGAAGTGGGTCCTGGTCTCGACCTCTGTGAAGTCACGCAGCACTACGAGAAGCGTCGGTTTCTCTTCCTTTGTGTAGCTGTCGTGTGAAAACAGCTGCAGGTTCACCTCAAAAATGGTACGCAAAAGACTCATGTTGGCTGCATTAAAACGACCCACATCAACAGCCCACATGTTGATAAGAAGAACATCGGCAACACTGAGTGCAAAGAGAGAGAGCTGCCGCTCAAAGCTTTGATCCTCTCCACGCTCAAAGCCATCGGTACCCTCAAAGTCCACCACGAACAGAGGCAAAGACTTCCCAGCACATGATTCCATCAGCGCCGATGCACCTGCGTCCATTTCGCCGTCGTCGCCACGCAAGACTTCAAAATTAGCACGTGAGATGAAGGCGCCCTTCGTTGTTTGGCCTCTCCTCTTTGTCTCATCCATCGTTTGAAATTTGGTGCCAAAGAGGCAATTCAGCAGTGTCGATTTCCCACTGCTCTGCCCACCAAGAACACCCACAACGTGATAGGTAATGCCCACACGGTGCAGCGCATCGCCGCCGCGAGACGCGCCAAGGGCGGTGAACAGGTATTCTTCGATCCCGTTCACGGGCAGCAACTGACCCTCATCGTCGATAAGATGGGCATCTTCTGTTCTCGCACCGCCGGCAAAGGCAACCATCCTTCCACACCGTTACTTCACCCGATTATTACACTATTCCTCCGATTCGTTTTTCTCTTTTACTATTTAAATCGTGGTTGCCGTTGTCTACCCTGCAGAATACCTTTCACTACTACTGCAAAAAAAAAAAAAAATTGTCCCTTTTTAAAGAACTACTTCGTTCTCTTCTATAATTTCGCCAATTTTTTTTTCTTTTTTCTTTCAATCCACCCGCGTAGTCGGTGTCACTCCTTATCTTCTTTCCCTTTCTTTTTTCTTTTTTTTTTTGGCGGGAAGGGGAATGGGGTGGAGCGTACGTAATGTTTTGTTCCTTTTTATTTGTGTTGGCGTTTTCCCTCTCTTTTATCTCTTCACTTGATTCCCCCCTCCAAATGCCCCTTTCTTCTTCCTTCTGGCTCCGCAATGTGTGTTGAAATAAAGAAAAAAGAGATGGAAAGCGTCACAGCCGCATGCTGCCAAAAAAGACAGCACAAAATGAAGAAGGCGCCAGTGGTGGCACTGGAAAAGGCACGTCAAGAAGGTGAAGAAAAACGACAGGAAAAACAGGCCATTTTCACCTGGAAAAGCCCCTTGCAGGTTTGGCACATGCCAGCAGCCAAAGAACGCTGGCGGCCGGTGCACATCTTTGACAGAATCCCGTCTCTTTTTGTATCGGTATCTTTGTGTCTGTCTGTTTCTCTCTTTTTGGGAACAATGAGCCAATCCACAACAAGGTAGAAAAAAAAAAAAAAAGAACAGAAGAGTGCCAATAGATAAAACACAAGCAAGGAAATATATATATATACATGTAAATTGCACGATTTATTCCTGCGACAGCAACAACGCAATTGACGTTGGGCCGGCAAAGCCCTCGTTGAGGCAAATGTAAATAATAAAGTAATACGGAAAGACGCCTTCACAAATGGGAAGTTATTAATGAGGAAAAAACAGCGGAAGAAGAAGTCATCTAAAGAAAGTACAAATAGAAAACAGGTGAACAACAACAAAAATAATACAACCGAAGGGTACAGTAATTGTAGAGGATAAAAAATAACAAAATACAAACGCAGGGAGGAAAGGAAGAATTCAAAAATCTCCTCTAACTCTCACTCCTCATTTATTTTTGCTTTTTTTTTTTTTTTTTTTTTTTTTTTTTTTTTTTTCTATTCTCTTTGTTTCATCTTCCTTCTCCCTTAGGCACACACGCGATGGGCGCTGGTACTGCGCGTCGTTGCCCACCTTCGGGCCTTTTCAGGCAGTGGTGCACTTGGACTGCGCGTCGTAGGGGTCAGGAGTCGCACGTAGCCGTCTTGCTCCAACAGCTCAATAACTTTAGCTCGACGAGACAAATGTGCATCGTCCGTGATATAAATCTTTCTGCCGTAATCAATGGCAGTTCGCCGTAAACAAGCCGGAAGCGATGATGGCCTCCGTGGCACCGCAGTAGCAGCCCGCAAAGGTGCAGTAGGCTTTTCTTTATCTTCTTGTTGTCGTGGCGCTTCCGGCATGGCGTCCACAGTGTGGGAAACGGTGGGAACAACACCCGCAGAATGGGCCTTTTCAGCACAACTGCAACATCTACACGGTTTACAACGACACTCGTATTGACCACCACGTAATGGCGGAGCTGGAGAAGAAGCCTTTTGCACTTCCTTGCACCTGCAACGAGAGAGGGAATGTGCAGCAGGTGGCCCAGACACGGGCTCCCCACTGGTGTCGGCCGTAAGAGGCGTCGTGTCTTGTACATGAGTATCTCTCTCTTTATGGTGCTTCCGCCCACGCAAGTATGAAGAACCGCGGTTTCTACACTCGCAGCGTGGCCTCACCACCGCCGTTGGCTTCGTTGCTGCGGCTTGGACGTTGCGACCAGGGTGCTGGTGCTGCTTTAAACCGGTTGTAGGGCACACACGCACAGGGGATTTCGCAAAGGCGCGCCCACGTGTCCGTTGAGCAGGGGCAAATGGCCTTTTCACACCGTCTACGGAAGTAAAGAAAGCAATTGGCTGATGCATGGGCCCACGCGCGCTCAGCTCCCTTTTCCTCGCCTCAATCTCCTTACGCAATTCCCGTCGCCGGCGTTCCTGCTCCATTGCGACGGCACGCTGGTATAAAGAACCCTGAGAATAACGGAGGAGTTGGGCTGTGTTTGGTCTGTATGAATAATCAGAAGAAGGCTCATGTCGGGGGGTCACACCACAAAACAAATCATCGTATAATGCAGCCTGAAGCTGCTGTCGTTCTGCACGCATTGAACGATATCTCTGCTCCTTTTCCAGGCGCTCGTACTCCTGCAGCTCCTCCTGCTCTGGAACGCAGCAAAAGCAGCGTCGAGATGAAGACCGAGAGCCTTGTTGAAGCTGTTCTACTCCCCCCTCCGTTTGCTGTTGTCTATAATGATGTTGATGATGATAATGTGATGGTGATGTTTGATGTCTGGCACCACGGTAATGATGGCTTTGCATCCCAGAAACCCCCTGGAACGCCTCGCAGCAACACGGGGGTCGCTCGGCGGGACATCTGCAGTGACGACAAACCGCTTCTTTGCCCAATGACGACTCACAGGCGTTCGACCTTTGGCAACAAGCGATAGGAGGAGCGCTGTTGCCAACCACATGCCGCCCGCCATACGCGGCCGGATCATATTGTTGTTCCTCTACACTCATCTCACTTCCCCCCTCCACAGAATTGATACTTTTTAATTATTATTACGAGTGTCAATGAAAATGTTAAAACGCCCCCGCGGCTGCCCCCACCCACCCCCCACCTTATCTCTAGTCCGCAATATAAATATATAAAAATAAAAAAAATCTAACGTCACCCAACCCCCCCAAATGCTACTCGATTTTTTGTTTTGTTTTGTTTTTTTTCCTTTGCCCTTTTGTTTACCTCTTTCCCGCTCCTATTCCTCCGTGGCACCTTCCGTGTTAAAGCACCCCTCTTTCCCTCTCTCTCTCCCTTAAAAGAAAATACAAGGGGCACAATTGCCTTGAAAAAAAATGATAATTAAAAAAAAAAAGAAAAACGCAGACAATCAGGCAAGATCCCCCTCCCCCCCCCTCCCTCCCTCAAAAAATAAATAAATAAATAAATAAAAATACACGCATGTGTGTATACGTGTGTAAAACAACTGTCATCCATTTTTCTCTCACTGCGTCACCATCTGCATTCGTCGTGCCAGAAGAATAAAAGTGCGAAAGTTTTAAAAGAGACAGTAGAAGAACGGAAATAAAAAATAAAATAAAAATAAAAATAAAAACAAAACGGCAATCAAACGACGATCAGAAAGGAGCCACAGACACACACACATACACAAATAAATAAAATAAAATAAACACCAACACGTAAAATACTTTTTTTTTTTTTTTCCCCTCAAAAGCGCTAATAAATGCAGATGTATTTATATCTTGTTCGCCTCCTCCACTAAATTTTTTTTTTTTTTCAACCCAAAATGTTCCTTTTTTTTTTCTTCTTCTTCTTCTTTTTTTCTTTTTTTAATACTATTTTTTCGCGCAGAAATAACACTCCTCTCAATGTAATAACAAAGTACATGTATGTATGTATATATATGCCATGCAATACTTTATGTAATCCTTTTTACTGCAACGTCTCCTCTAATCAGATGCGATGATACGAGGCCGGCGGTGCCTGCTCCCTAGCCAACCCCGTCTCCAATGCATTTCGCCCACGATATATATCATTCAACCCAAACGTAAGTAATTCATCCTCGACGCCCAACACAACTGCAATAAGTAGCATTAACGAAAGCATTGTAATACTAATATTGAGACACGCAAGAATCTTCACAAATGTCAACCAACCATCAGCACACATTGTTGAAGCATAGGTGCTGTAGAACGCCACGCAATCATCGCTGTTGGTGGCACCGATGATGCCTCTTCCCCAACCCGTCGGAAAGCCTACAAGCAGAAGAAACCACACCATGTATAGAGAAAGAAACCACCTCGCGTGCAATTCTAAAGGACCAGAAGTCGCCACAAAAACCATGCAGTAGGCCAAAACCGTTGATACAAGACCGTAATTGAATGCAGTGGTAAAGAAAAGAAAAACTGAAAGCAACATATTGATAAGGGAAGCAAAAAAACAGATGCATGTTGCTGTATCAGCACACGAGACGGTAAAGGCAGCTCTCAAAATCCGACGTGACTTCATCAAAATGCAGAGGAGCATAACCAAAAAAAGAATTGGCATGCCGATGCCGTTCATCCGGTCTACTGCTTCCGCAGCATGCACGGGAACGGCAGCAATGGCAACGGTCGCACACACAGACACAAAGTACAGACGAAAGCGAGAAAATACAGGCCATGCCGACGGCGATAGCAGGGTTCCGTGGTAATTCATTTCAATGACTTATTGCCTAATTCAACCAATAAAAAAAGAAGAAAAGAAAGAAAGAAAAAGAAAGTAAAACGGATAAATACACACGCAAAAAAAAAACATTCAATTTTTGTCAACTGCATGCGCACACCTGTGTGTATGCCGCCCACCGACACCGTATTCAAAAACTCTTCAAACATTCCTACACACTTCTGCTTGTGTCTGCCCTCGTTGTTGCCCCTTCTTCAACTATTTCGCATTATTGTTTTCGTCTTTTTCCGTCGTGACGACCTCCTTCGCCTTGTGCTGCTCGTGCTCCAGCTTCTCCTTCAGTGCCTGCTCACGTCGTGCTCTTACCTCCACCATCTCACTGTTGATACGGCGTCGATTCGCAATTACATCGTAGAGGGCACCAACGCAGCGGCCAATCGCGGCAATAAACATTGCGATCGCCTGGTCGTTTGAGTGCCGGATCATCTCTGTAGATCTTTTGAGGTGATAGATGTGCGGCTGCAGGCTAATAAGCTCCTGCAGCACACTCAGCACATCCTCAGAAATGGGCATCAGGCCCTCCGCAACGTCTTGCAAGTAGTCCTCAATCGACTGCAAGACACAACTGAGGTGGGCCAGCGAGAGTTCCCGCTCTTGGATCTGCGTGGAGAGTGTTGTAATGGTGGAGTCCGTCA